ATCAACTCGGAATTCGACGCTGATCAAAAACACACTTGAGTGTATACCTAAGACCGTCATTTCTTAATGTTACAAACGGTAAGGCAAATTTAACATACCCTTCGTACATACATTCGTGCGGGTATAAATATGAAAACGTTTAAGGCCACGCTTGCCATAGAAAATTCAAAGCGTGCAAATCATTTGCCATCTAGGCTTAAGAACATCCTATTTTTTTCAGATTTAAAGTTTTAATTTGTCATATATTTTGTATTAATTTTAAGTTAGCACTGATAATTTAAAATCCAATATTTTCTTCAATTCTTTTGGGGAATTTATTCTATGAAAATTTAAAATTTGTTTTGTTTTTTTTTCGTAATTTAACTCAGTACCCTTTTTAATAGTAATGAGGAAGGTCTGGATGGCTTGTTTTTCTATGATTTTTTGGAAACATATTTTTAATAAAATTTATTTTGAATGTAAACTTCCTTCTTTCGGCAATTTTTTTGCAAACATCAAAATAAAACTCCAAAATTTATTTATATAAAAATATTTTTAGGTATAACATTTTTTTTCTTCATATAAAATCTATACTTTTTACGAAAAATTATAAAGGGGAAGTAAGAGTTGCTCTCTTTACGTGGTGGCTTAATACTTAATATTAGGGCAGTGACTTAAGTATTAAATTTTTATTTCACAAAAATTTTAGCAATTTAAGGTAGATACATATTCATATATGTAATAATTTTTGATCGAGTTTTCAAATTTTTTTTTAATTTAATACATACAACTGCTAAGTAGAATGTCTATGCGTTTGCTTGCATAATTGCTTGCATAATAACTAGCATCATAATATTATATTGATAAGTTATGAGCTTGATATAAGAGTTGTTATCGCGATGTGCTTTTTCATGTACTTTCCGAAACTAATAATTTAACTAATTAAAAAAACTAATAATTTAAGAATATCAGAATCTTGAATTTGCGTTTATGGAAGGTTAGGTAGATATCTTCCAGAATGGCCCCTGTTTATCGTAAGAAAAAAAAATTATATATAACCTCACCTTAATCATATGTGGGCGATTTCTTTTTTATATTTTGCTTTTTCTTTCCATGTCAGTAAATACAGGGCGTCTCGTAACAAAGTGCACTGCTATATACTAGTGTTCATTCCTTCATGAGTAGACAAAACTTTGGTATGGAGACGATGTTCAAAGCTCAACAGGTTCAGAGTTACAGGGACAAGTGCCAAAATCCACGCAAAACTAATTAAAAACCAAACTTTTCATCAACTGTAAAAAGACTAATTAAAAAATTTAGAGAGATGGATCAATTAGTGATCTTAAACAATCAGGTCGTGCTTCAACAAGTCTTTCAACACAAAACATTGAAGCAGTCCGAAAGAGTGTTGATGAGAGTCTAGAAAGATTTGCATGCCTACAAAGTTCTATTCGCTCAAGAACTGAAGCTTACGCACACCGGAGAGAGTTCGTTGAATTGATAATGCAACAACAAAAAATGGGTGCTGATTTTTCGAACAAAATCATTTTCAGCGATGAAGCTCATTTTCATCTTGGCTTTGTTAATCGACAAAATATTTATTTGGGGTTCAGAAAATCCATAAGTGAGTGTTGAGAAACAAATGCACCCACAAAGTGTCACTGTTCGGTCCGGATTTTGAGTTGGAGGCATCATCGGATCATTTTTCTTCAAAAATGCAGTTGGTCAGACAATAGCGGTTAATGGTGTTCGCTATCACGACATGATAATCTAGTTTTTTGTTCCAAAATTGCAAGATATGGATGTGGGCGGCATGTGGTTCAAAAAAGCGGTGTCATACATCCCGAGAAACAATTCAATTACTACATGAGTCATTGGTTGTGTAATTTGCCGATCAGGATTGGCCAACCAGATCATGTAGCTTATCACCGTTGGACTTTTTTCTTTGAGGTTTTTTCTAAGATCTATGAGGAAAGTCTGGATGGCTTGTTTTTCTATGATTTTTTGGAAACATATTTTTAATAAAATTTATTTTGAATGTAAACTTCCTTCTTTCGGCAATTTTTTTGCAAACATCAAAATAAAACTCCAAAATTTATTTATATAAAAATATTTTTAGGTATAACATTTTTTTTCTTCATATAAAATCTATACTTTTTACGAAAAATTATAAAGGGGAAGTAAGAGTTGCTCTCTTTACGTGGTGGCTTAATACTTAATATTAGGGCAGTGACTTAAGTATTAAATTTTTATTTCACAAAAATTTTAGCAATTTAAGGTAGATACATATTCATATATGTAATAATTTTTGATCGAGTTTTCAAATTTTTTTTTAATTTAATACATACAACTGCTAAGTAGAATGTCTATGCGTTTGCTTGCATAATTGCTTGCATAATAACTAGCATCATAATATTATATTGATAAGTTATGAGCTTGATATAAGAGTTGTTATCGCGATGTGCTTTTTCATGTACTTTCCGAAAAGCAAAAAATTAAATTAAATTGTATTATGTACACAAATTATTACAGGTATCATTTAATTATCACATCTACACAGTGCTGCCAAATACATTAGCCAAAATATATTAATTTTATAGCAATGAAATCTTCATTTTAAAGAATTGATAAAAAAAAAATTCACAAACCCTTCGAGATCTTCAATTGATGTTAAACTGAAAAAAGTAGGAAACTAAAACATCAATTCAATTCGAATCAAATCAGACATCAAAACGAAAATATTATGACATGCACAATGGCATATGATGTTACAAGCTACATGTGCGTTTAGTTATTGCGCCAAGTTGATTAATATAGAATGAAATAAAGCGGAGAATATCAATAATAATCTGTCATGGGAGTAGCTTTATCATGCATTGTCTATTAAATGGACTTTTTTTGTTCAAAATGTTTTTTTTGTAAACTTTGGAAAATATCGAAAAAGGTACAAAAAATTCGAATTTTGAAAAACTTTAGTGGCATTAAAAAACCCTAATTTTGAAGATATTTTTGTATGTAAAATTTAAAAATTTCAAAAACCTTATTTTGAAGTTTTGCACAAAAAATATTGCCAAAAAACCTTCATTTTGGGAATAAATCTTTTTTTGGCAGCGCCGTATCCATGTATAAGAATGTATGATACATTATAATATGTTAGAAACCAGTTTGTATGAAAGAATGTCACAGAAAGTTAATTTTGTTTGGGTGTTGCTCAATATTTCAAAAATTTCCTTAAAAAAAATTCTAAGTGAAAATTTAAGAAAGTCAGTAAGCCTTTAGGTGCTTTTTTTGGACAAATGCAACTTCCTTTTATAATAATTTTGCCAACTTACTAGAAAACCTTTTTCTGTAAAAGTCTTTTATAAGAAAAAGTGTTCACGCATTTTCAATATTAAGGAGAATGTGGTTTGCAAACAACATTTTTTTGTGTTAAAAAAAAACTATTAATTTAAGAATATCAGAATCTTGAATTTGCGTTTACGGAAGGTTAGGTAGATATCTTCCAGAATGGCCCCTGTTTATCGTAAGAAAAAAAAATTATATATAACCTCACCTTAATCATATGTGGGCGATTTCTTTTTTATATTTTGCTTTTTCTTTCCATGTCAGTAAATACAGGGCGTCTCGTAACAAAGTGCACTGCTATATACTATTGTTCAGGCCTTCATGAGTAGACAAAACTTTGGTATGGAGACGATGTTCAAAGCTCAACAGGTTCAGAGTTACAGGGACAAGTGCCAAAATCCACGCAAAACTAATTAAAAACCAAACTTTTCATCAACTGTAAAAAGACTAATTAAAAAATTTAGAGAGATGGATCAATTAGTGATCTTAAACAATCAGGTCGTGCTTCAACAAGTCTTTCAACACAAAACATTGAAGCAGTCCGAAAGAGTGTTGATGAGAGTCTAGAAAGATTTGCATGCCTACAAAGTTCTATTCGCTCAAGAACTGAAGCTTACGCACACCGGAGAGAGTTCGTTGAATTGATAATGCAACAACAAAAAATGGGTGCTGATTTTTCGAACAAAATCATTTTCAGCGATGAAGCTCATTTTCATCTTGGCTTTGTTAATCGACAAAATATTTATTTGGGGTTCAGAAAATCCATAAGTGAGTGTTGAGAAACAAATGCACCCACAAAGTGTCACTGTTCGGTCCGGATTTTGAGTTGGAGGCATCATCGGATCATTTTTCTTCAAAAATGCAGTTGGTCAGACAATAGCGGTTAATGGTGTTCGCTATCACGACATGATAATCTAGTTTTTTGTTCCAAAATTGCAAGATATGGATGTGGGCGGCATGTGGTTCAAAAAAGCGGTGTCATACATCCCGAGAAACAATTCAATTACTACATGAGTCATTGGTTGTGTAATTTGCCGATCAGGATTGGCCAACCAGATCATGTAGCTTATCACCGTTGGACTTTTTTCTTTGAGGTTTTTTCTAAGATCTATGTCCACAAGCCCACGCACTCCTTGAAGGAGGAAATTGAGTTCTGTATCAACGAAATTCAGCCACAAACAATTATGGAAATTTAAGCAAAACAATCATAGAAAATTTCACCAAAAGGGTGCGTATGTGCCAGCAAAGTCGTGGAAGCCATTTACCTGATATGCTGTTTAGAAAGCCGATACCTGATAAAAATTTACAATTTTTAATTATAAACCTGTGTTTTTTCAGTTTTAATTATAAACCTGTCAGTTTTTTGGTAATTAAAAGAAGGAAATTCTAATTTTAAGTAGTTTAATTGAAATAAAATATATAAATTTTTAGTCTGTTAATCAAAATCTGTTAAGAAACTTATTTCAAACATTTTGAATAAAAATAATTCAAATATCGACAAAAAGAGAAATGTTCTTGCTCCTTAGGAAACCCATGTCTTTGAAGTACAGCAGTGTTGCACTATTATTGTGTGTGAAAGTCATTTCAAAAATTTTTGGAAAAACTCCAAATAAAAATTGATTTAATTAATTTTTTCTTTTTATTTCAATCCAATTTTAATCAAACTACATTTTCAGGGTTGCAAATAGGCGAACAGGTCAAAATAAAGTAAGCTATAAAGAAGCCAGTGAAGATGAACCAACCGATTCAGAAGACTTGGTTGAAATTGATAATACTCAGGAATATAATGCAAAAGATGAAGAAACTGATAAAACGGAGACCATTGAACGTGTTGTTGCCAAGCGTATTGGAAAGAGAGGTGTTACTGGAGACCAAACGACAATGTATTGTATTGAAGAGCATGGAGATCCTAATGACGGGGTTGATGAAAATGATTCGGAAAATACAGAAATCCAATACCTCATAAAGTGGAAAAACTGGTCTTATATTCATAATACATGGGAATCTGAAAAATCACTAAAAGAACAAAAAGCTAAAGGTATTAAAAAGTTAGAAAACTTTATAAAACGTGAAGCGGAATTGGAGCATTGGAGAAAATACGCAGGACCAGAAGATATTGACTATTTTGAATGTCAAATGGAATTGCAAAACGAACTAGTGAAAAGTTATACTAATATTGACAGAATTATAGCCAAGCATGAAAAAGAAGATGGTACAACTGAGTATTTATGTAAATGGGAATCGTTGCCATATGCAGAAGCAACATGGGAAGATTCGACTTTAGTGAGCCAAAAATGGCAAGGTAAAATAGATGAATATGAAGAAAGAGAATTATCAAAGAAATCACCGTCACGACACTGTAAAGTATTCTCCAGGCGACCTAAATTTTCAAAAATTACTGAGCAACCAAGAGAAATCTGTGAAGGTTTAGTATTGAGAGATTATCAAATGGACGGGCTCAACTGGTTAATACATGCTTGGTGCAAAGAAAATTCTGCAATCTTAGCTGACGAAATGGGCTTAGGAAAGACTATTCAAACCATATGCTTCCTACATTATTTATATCAACAACATAATTTATATGGTCCATTTTTATGTGTAGTGCCATTAAGCACAATGACGGCGTGGCAACGCGAATTCCAAATTTGGGCGCCTGAAATTAACGTTGTAACTTATTTAGGAGATGTACAGTCTAGAGATTTAATTCGTCAATATGAATGGTGTTTCAATGGTACCAAACGTCTCAAATTTAATGCTATTCTGACAACTTACGAAATTTTACTAAAAGATAAAACATTTTTAAATTGTTTAACCTGGGCTATGCTATTGGTGGACGAAGCTCATAGACTGAAAAATGATGATTCATTATTATATAGGACTTTAAAAGAATTTGAAACGAACCATAGACTGTTGATTACTGGTACACCATTACAAAATTCCCTTAAAGAGTTATGGGCTTTATTACATTTTATTATGCCATTAAAATTTGATAGTTGGGAAGAATTTGAAAAAGAGCATGGTAACGCTGCAGAGAAAGGTTACGCCAAACTTCATAAGCAGCTAGAGCCCTTTATTTTGCGCAGAGTTAAAAAAGATGTTGAAAAAAGTTTACCAGCTAAAGTAGAGCAAATATTAAGAGTAGAAATGACTTCTCTTCAGAGACAATATTACAAGTGGATTCTTACGAAAAATTTTAATGCCCTAAGAAAAGGAAATAAAGGTGAGAAAGTACAAATTTGAGTTAATACTTTGTTATTTTTTTTTTTCAATTTATTTCTTTTTTAGGATCGACAAGTACCTTTCTGAACATAATGATTGAACTAAAAAAATGTTGCAATCATGCAACATTAATTCGACCAAATGAAGAAGAAATCATGCGTATGCCGCAAGAAGAAATAATGCAATCTTTGCTTAAAGGTTCAGGAAAACTGGTTTTACTTGACAAATTATTGTGTAGATTGCGGGAAACAGGGCATCGGGTATTAATATTTTCCCAAATGGTTAGAATGTTGGATATTTTAGCGGATTATCTGCAAAAAAGACATTTTCCTTTCCAAAGGTTGGACGGCAGTATTAAAGGTGAAATGAGAAGGCAGGCCTTAGATCACTTTAATGCTGAAAATAGTCAAGACTTCTGTTTTCTTTTATCAACAAGGGCTGGTGGTTTGGGCATTAACCTAGCAACTGCGGATACAGTGATTATATTTGATTCTGATTGGAATCCACAAAATGACTTGCAAGCTCAGGCTAGGGCTCATCGAATTGGCCAAAAAAATCAAGTAAACATATATCGATTAGTTACGGCAAAAAGTGTCGAAGAAGATATAGTTGAAAGAGCGAAAAAGAAAATGGTTCTAGATCATTTAGTTATACAGCGAATGGACACCACTGGAAGAACTGTTTTAGATAAGACAAGTAGCGCAACAAACTCGAATCCATTCAATAAAGAAGATTTATCAGCCATTTTGAAGTTTGGTGCCGAAGAGTTATTCAAAGATGAACAAGAAAATGACGATGATTTAGTTTGTGATATAGACGAAATTTTACGTCGGGCTGAAACTAGAAATGAGGAGCCAGTACAAGAAAACGATGATTTGTTATCCGCTTTTAAGGTTGCTAGTTTTGCAGCTTTCGATGAGGATGATAAGGATCCTCCAAGTGCTGCAGAAGCTATGGAGCTCGACGGCGGAACAAATGAAGATACGAAGGATTGGGATGAAATTATTCCTGAGAATTTTAGAAAAGTTGTTGAAGATGCAGAACGTCATAAGGAAGTAGAGGATTTGTACTTACCTCCAAGAAGGAAAGCTGCAAATCAGAATAATATTGATGAGGTGCCAAAGCCTAAAGGTCGGAAAAGAGCGTCGGATAACGAATCTGAGTATGAGGAAGGTAGTGATAATAGCGATAGCGATGGTAGGCCTAAACAGCGTGGTAGACCAGCCAAAAAAGAAAAAATACAAGGCTTTAGTGATGCTGAAATAAGAAGATTTATTAGAAGTTATAAAAAATTTCCTTCTCCTTTAACGCGTCTGGAAGATATTGCAGCAGACGCTGAACTTCAAGAAAAACCATTAGCCGAGCTAAAAAAAATTGGCGAAATGCTACAAGAAAGGTGCGTGCAATTTTTAGAGGAACAAAAAGAGACTCCAGATACTGTAAAAACACTTATAAATAACGAAACAGGTGTAGCAGGAAAAAAACAAAGAGCTAGTAGAACTACTTACTCTTTGAAATTCGGAGGTGTATCTTTTAATGCTAGGACTCTAATGTCTTGTGTAGATGAATTAAATCCTTTAAGCGAAGTTATTCCGCAAAATAAAGAAGAAAGGAATAGATGGATTTTAGATTTGCATACTAGACCAGCAAATTTCGACGTCGATTGGGGTGCTGAAGAAGATTCTAAACTTTTAAGTGGAATTTTCCAATATGGTATAAGTGTCAATATTTGCAATAAAAAAAATTCTGTGCATAGTTAACTATTATATTTTTTTAGGCATGGGTTCATGGGAAGCAATAAAAGTCGACGCGTCTTTAAGTTTAGGTGAAAAAATTCTTTTAGGTGATAGCAATAAAAAACCCCAAGCAAAGCATTTGCAATCTAGAGCAGAATACTTACTAAAAATAATTAAGAAAAATGTTGAGCTAAGAAAAGGTAATTCCAAGCAAAAACGCATGCGAAAGCAAAGGGAACCCAAAGATGTGAAAAAGATAACTGGCGTTGTAGTCAATGATACCAATTTAATTGCAGAGGAATCATGCCATTCTTTGGGGGATCAAGAAAAAAAAAGTCGAACAAGGGATAACAATAAAATTAACGAATCAACGGAGACTCAAGAAAATTTTGCCGAAAAAATTAAAAATAAAGATTCAAATACTACTAAAAAAGATAAAACGAAGAAGTCAAATAAAGATAGTTCGAGGGAAAATAAAAAGCAGAAAAAAAAAGAAAATAAACCAATGCACTTTACTGCAAATAATGAGCCACGGGCTTTAGAAGTCTTGGGGGATTTAGATCCCAGTATATTCAATGAATGTAAGGAAAAAATGAGACCCGTTAAAAAAGCTTTAAAAGCTCTAGACAAACCTGATTCAACATTGTCAAATCAGGAACAAGTTAATCATATGCGTGACTGTTTAATCAGTATTGGAAAACAAATTGATATTTGCCTGAGAGACTACAGAGATGCAGAAAAAATTCGTGAATGGCGGAGCAATTTATGGGATTTTGTTTCGAAGTTTACTGAATACGATGCAAATAAGTTGTTTAAATTATATAAACACGCAAAAAAAAAACTAGAGGAAAAGAATTCAGATGGTAATATTTTACCACAAAAGCAATCAAAAAGTGATACCATAGATAAAAAAAAAATATCGCAAAGACGAAATAAAAAAGATTGGCACGGTGAAAACAGTGATAAGGAGATACGGGAAAAGAAGAAAAAAAGAAAGAGTTTAGATAAAAGTAATGCAATCAAAGACAAAAGGTCGTTAAACACCGGGCCTAATAGCTCAGAATTCAAAAGTCGTAATAAAGATCCCAATAGCTTTAATAGTACTTTTGGTATCACTTCAGTTAGTCATAAAAATAAGTTAAACGATATTTCATTTAAACGTAAACATGAAGCTAATGTTTCAGAAACTACTCAAGGAAAAAAAGTAGGAGAATTCAAACGATCTCGCATAGAAGAACAGTAAGTTCAGTAGTGTACGATTGTATTCATTATTTAATTAAATTTGTTCTTTGTAGAGAAAAAGACGCTAGAAAGAAAAGAGATGATTACTATAATGATCGTCGAAATAATATTAATGCTCCTGGAAGATTTTCCACAAATACCAGTCAAAGGTTACCATATGGACCTGGAGATAATAGAAATAACTCATCTTACATAGAAAGAGTAAATGATGGATGGGGATCGGGCAGGGATAGGTAAAATACTAAATATTTTGAAATTTAAAAAAAAAATACATTTCAAACAAAATATAGGCACAACATTGAATACTGCAAAAGATATGATAGATATGATAAATATCAAGGAAGAAATCACCAATCTCAAAATTACCATAGAGATCGTCATGATAGACCCGGAAACAATGACAGAGATAGAAGAACTGAAAAAAGAAGGTGACATATTCATTGAAATATTAAAATAATTATAATTTATAATAACTATTTCGTACAAATATAATATCCAAAAGATACCCACCCTCATCGTACGGTAATTCTGGTCATTACTTAACTCCAAATTATTTTATGGGAAACGGAGCACCACCTGGAACGTTACCTCCACATGGTTATAGAGATAGTAGATATCCAGCAGTACCTACTGACTGGAGTGTTTCGACGATATCAGTTTCACCTTTAATGAGCGGACCTAATGCAAATTTAGGTGGTTGTCCTGGTAGTTATTCCCAAGATTTTAGAAGAACTACTTCATCTGCTGAATATGATAGAAGGCAACCACCTACACATGCAAACTCGTAGCCATAACAGAAAAATTATGCAGCACAAGTAGTGGTCACCAACAATATTAGTAACGTAGCTACTATGTCATCGTCGTCGTCAACATCATTGTCATCCCAATTTCAATCTCATAATCTTCCATCCAAAAGTGAAGATGACATCATACTTAAATCAAATTCATCTTCAACCTTAACTAACTATTTCTCTAAAAAACTTAGAAAAACTATTTCCAATTAAATTGAACTTGATCATATTTGAAATAAAAAAATTCATTAAAATTTTAGAATAAATAAAAATAAATATGAAACTTATTTTAGGTTAGGTTTATTAAATTAATTAACAAATTATGAAAAATTTAACACACAAATTTGAAAACAATATATTAACATAAACATTATAATAAGGCATGTATATAGAAACTATAATTATAACACTTACATTATTATATATATGAAAACCATTAAATATCCTATTCGTAAGGATAATATATTATTTTAAAATAAAAAAAAATTACCTGTGAAGGAAAAAAATTTGCGAAAACATTACAAAGAACGTTTGAATTATTTTGCTCTCCTAAGTATGTATTTTTTTTTATTTTCGTGCATAATTGTAAATGCTTAAAAACTAATAGAAAAAGTTATCATAAATTTTAAGCAATTAATTAAGGTAATATATACACAAATATAAAAATGAAGGTGGAAAAGTCAAAATATTTGGTTTTTATTAAAATAAAAAACAGTCTGATTTTAATTATAATTTGAGCAAGGTATTTCTCAACTTGTAAAAACTTTTAAAAATGGGTTTCTAAAATTAACGTTAAAGGTACGTGGCATGCAAAATTTCTGTTTTTCAAAACTACAAAATCTTTCTAATATGTTTTGATTTTATTACTGGACGTTATGTTTAAAGTACTTTTTGGAATGCCAATCTAAATTTTAAAAAGTTATTACAACACATTTTTTTTACTGTTGAATCAAATATTTTTTTGACAATACCTTTTATTTTAATAATTCATTTCATATTCAAAATTTTTTGTTTAGGTAATAAAATAGCATTTTCGAAAGGCTTTTAAAATTCACAAGTAACTTTATAGAACTATAGGATTAAGCTGTTTAAAATTATTACATTTGTTCTTATTTTTCATTTTCTTCCTTTTTTGTGCAAATAAAATTGTTGCTATTTTTTTTAATATAATTCTCATTTCAAATTATTTAAATTTAAGTTTCTAAATGCATATAACAAAATTTAATTTACTGTTTAATTTTTTTAATTTATGAAACTAATGTGTAAGTAATCAATAAGAGCTATAAAAATCAAAGAAAAAAAAACAATCACTTAGATTATTTTTAATTATAAGTTACGTGGAAATGGAGTGAATTCTATGAAAACATTTATACAGATAAAAAATAAAACGAAATATGTGTGATATATTACCCTTTTTTATTTTAAATAAAATTTGACTAAAATGTTATATGAATTTTGTTTTTATAGCAAACATGAATGTAAAAAAAAACCAAATTGCATCAATTTTCAAATTCAGCGTATTAAATTGTGACTCTAAACCAAATATCTTATGTTAGATAATTAAATCATACTTTTGCCATTGTAATTGAAAAATTTGTGCTCTTAATTTCAATAGTTAATAATAAGGTAACTAGAAAAAATTTGTGTTCATTTACTCAATCTACTCTATTTCGTATTTACAACCAACGAATTAGAAATACTAAAGGAAGGACTGAAGGTGAAGCATTTTGAAAAAACAGTTGAGCGAACTTTTTTCTAGTTATCCTTTCTTTGCTCCAAACATTGTCAAAGCCGTAATAGAAGCGTATTTGCTTCATTTTTTTATGTAACTATTAAATATAATTTGTAAAAAAGATATGTTGAAAATTTTTTTAAAGTAAAAAGTAGAAAATATTTTTAAAAAATTCTTTTTTTTTTTAAATATCTATAAAAAAAATCAAATTTAAACAAAACACATTAATTTTATTTTCTTTTTAAACAAATTATTTTGTAAATAGATATTAAATACACGTATTTCTATTTCACAATATCTTACTGCCCTTAAACTAAACATATTTTTTTTAGATATTTTGTACTGCCTTGCTATTTGCAATGTACTTTTTGTTGATGAAGGTGATATTAACAAAACATTTATCCATGTTGGACGTTATTGTAATTCAAATGCAATAATGCGTTGGTTAATTAACCAACCTTTCGAATACAAAAGACCTCTTTTAATTAATATTTCCTTTATTACTCCCTTAAGTAGAGGGTACATGTACCGTGACTTCAATAATGCCTTATAAAAAGTTTAAGTACGGTATTAATGTCTTTACATCTAACAAGTCCCAATACTCAATTTTTTTTACGAAATATTACGAATTTTTGGCTTCGTTCCTGTTTTTTTTCTTTAAATGCTACTGATCGTGTCATATTTCTTATAATTTTTTTTTTTTTTTTTTACGTAAAAAAGAGTAATATTTTAAAAAATCTCAGGATATTTTACACATTTTTTAAAAAGCTTCCTATTTAAATTCTATTGCACGAAAAAGAAAGAAAGGTAGGAGGAAAGAAAAATTGAAAAAAAAAATTCAAATTCATATTTCATTATGGCTTCAAATGTTAATGAGGAAGGATATATGATTTTTCATGCACATTTTGCATTTCCCGCAATAAGGTAAGTTAAGTAGTGTCGGCTAACAAAAGTGTTAGTAAAAGTAATATAGGTTAACGCATTTCAACAATTTGAATTATCTCATTTCGGTTATTTATACGTTACTTATAAAATTGTGTCAAATAATTTCAGTTAGTTCTTCAATTACTAAAAATAAATATGTATGTACATACTTCCAATCAATTTTCTTTTAAATAATTATTTTAAAACTATTTCAAACATGTTATATTGAGTGCTTCAAAAATTTTGTTGTGCAATCTTTTCATATTTTATTAGCAGGTAAACAAGAGCAATCTATTTATAAAATGGCCCTGTTTGTGTATGAATCTTAATAGTAAACGCAAACTTACAAAAATTTACATCAGTACCTGTCATTTTACAATCGGAGTGTTTGAGTCATTTGCTAAGATAATATTTATTTCAAAAATAAAAAAGATATTCGAATCCGGTCATAAAAATATATTACTTCTTTTCCAAAACCTTTAAATATTTTTTACCGATACCAATACCGATTGTATTGTGTAAACAATAGGTAGGTTATGTGATGGCAACAAATTTTGCATATCGAGTTTTCGGTGGGAACGTACTTCTCCATAGTAGGGAAGTGTAAATAAACTATTTTTAGCAACCTGTCGGACGCGTATATCTCAAGTTCGGCTGAACCGATTTTGATGAAATTTTATATGTAAGTTTGTTTCCACCATGGCACGGATCGATCAACTTTTGGTATATATCAGGCCTCGGGAACTGCACTTTTTAGCGGGCCTGTTTTACATTTTTGAACATTTTGAAGAAAGTATTCAACCGATTTACTTGAAATTTTATATATAAGCTCAGCTCGACCATCCGCAAAAATTCGTATGTTTTGGAAGAAATCAGGCATCGGCAACTAGACGTTTACTACGGGCCAAATGTACATTTTTGTGTATATAAAGAGAAATAATTAACCGATTTCATTGAAATTTAATATATGAATTCCCCGTATTAAAACAATGAACATGTAAATTTTTTGGAAAGATCAGGCATCGGCAACTAGACGTTTACTACGGGCCAAACATACACTTTTGTGTATATAAAGAGAAATAATCAACCGATTTCATTGAAATTTAATATATGAATTCCTCATATTAAAGCAATGAACATATAACTTTTTTGGAAAGATCAGGGCTCGAGAACTGACTTGCGGGCTGATTTTACATTTTTCACCATATCCACAGAACAAATTGATGGAATTTCTTGAAATTTGTTATTTGAGTTCTGGTTGTTACCGAAACTAACTGGTGAGCATTTCAAGGAATTCGGGTAGCACAAAGCGAAACTCTACTAAGAGCCAAATTTACATTTTTCTAGGTATGTTAACTATAAGCTTACTAATGTCATAAAAATTGAAAGGAAGTATTTAACAGACATTTTTATAATATTCTGTAACACTTTCATTTAACTAGACAATACACAATGCGGTCGGTTATGTGCTGATCACATCAGATTTTTTTACTTAGGTAACATATTAAGTTTTAAAAATTTTTCTCACAAATAGAGGTAAAATTTAGAAGTGTACATAAAATTTGTATTTAAAAAATAATATTTGATTGTATTTTAGATATTATTTCCTCTTCAAATTTTTTCTTTACTATGTATCCATATCAATATTTAATAATTATCTTTCATTAATTATATTTTCAACTTGACACCATAGTTACTTCCCACATCTTGAGTTAACTTACCCTATGAGAAAAAAAAGCTGTTCACTTAAAAATAATGAAATGCTTTCAGTAACATATAAAACGTTGAAGGCGAAGGTTGTGCTTTTCCTCTGTTTCAAGAATTTTAAAATAATTATGAATGAAAATATTAATATATTTTTTTGATTTTTCAAATATATTTTCTAAATTTTACCTGCTTTATAATAAGTGTGAATTTATTTTAATATTTCTTCTCAAAAAATAGCCACTTAAATTTAAAAAAACCCATATAAAATAAGGTCGTGGTTTCAAGTTCCTCTCTGAGCATTGGGACTTTTTAGATATAAAGACATTATTGTAAAAATTGTATTCCAAAATGTATCAAAAGCTTTAGCAGTTTTTTTTACAATGTAAAGATATTGAAAGCTCTGAGACGGTACTACAACCGTATTAATACCGTTAATGTTTAAAACCATTCACATTTAAAAAAACTTTAATTTTATATTTTGAAGCAACTTTGTTTATCTATACTTTATATTTATCACATACAAATTAAGAAATATCGTAAAAATTATGGAAAAGCATCTGGCGTTAAATAAATAAATTTTACCGCATAATTTCTTTTATTTTGATTTCCTCTTATATCTCATCATTTAAAGGAAAACTGTAATTATATAAGAAAAAAAGATATTTTAAATATCATACGTCTGGTATATTTCAGAAAACAAACAAATTTTGCTTAAAAAAATCCACTCCTTAATTAATTACA